TAAATTTTTCTCTCAGTCTGACATTGGACTTAATCTCAGTTTGAACATTAACATATTCATCAAATATTCGATTTTCAATTGAGTGCCGTAACCAGATGGAAGCTTAGCCTTCCTACAAACGATTGAGTCCCGCTTAACTGCAGATATGATCAGAATATTGAACTCTCCTACAACGTTTTTCTGGTTATGTCATTACTTTCATCTTTGTTATTGTTGTTCTCTAAATTTAATTTCGCGAATACTCGACAATACTTTTATTGTCTATTGTGAAAAGTTTTGAGGATAATTCGACGAAAGATTCTCATAATCAATATAAATTGTATTTTTCTTTCTATTCATTTAAATATATTGACTTACATCAGTTGGATTTAATTCTTTATGTTTAACAAGTCGACTAATAATAGATAAAATTTGTTTTATTTGATCATTCCATTTTGATTTATTATTAATAAATTCATATATTGTATCTGATGATAATTGTTTTATTTTATTACATATATCCATATACCAAATACGATCAAAAAGATAATTTAAACGCATTTCATCGGATTGTTTTTCATAAGTTAAAAATTGTTTTGTTGTATCATCAATTAATTCTTGTTCTAATTCATCAACAGCCATATAAATACAACGATACATCGTTATTAAATCTTGTTTTTGTTCATCTGGTAAATCTTCTTGTTCACCTAGAATGAATATGTCAAACAAAATTTTTTTATCTTATTTTTGTTTGTCAACTAACCAATATTTGTATCGATTAAAGAAAAACAAAAATTATCACGTCCACGTATTGCTTGTATCATATGAGTTTGACCAAGAAATGATGTTATTGTTGATTGACAACTGACAGCAGCATGTTCCAAATTATATCTATTATTTTATTTTATTTAGTAAAAAAACAAACAAAAAATATTTTCTCTTACTTAAATACTTGTTCACGACTATTAACTAATTTTGGTGTATCAAAAATTGTTAAATTTCCATTTGAATATGTAAAAACATGTTTAAGTAAACGTTCTGTTGGAGTATTCATTGATGTAGGTTCATAAGTATAATAATCAACAATTGAAACCTAAATATATATATATTTAATAAAATGAAATGATTTTGAATATTAATTTCGATTGAATTAAGCGAAAAATTATTCATCTAATTCAATTGTATTCTGATGAGCATTGACAATTCCCAGAACGTTGTGTTATTTTCGATTATACCATCGTCAAAATGCTTTCTCAATTGATTAAACTTGTTTATGTGTTAATAAATGCTTTACATATAGAATATTAATTCTTGTTCGATTTGCGAAAAAGAAAAAAAAAATCTATAATGATTAACTTACATTTGAACATCGTTGTTCAATCCAATAAGTAAATCGTTGAAGAATTTTCATCATATTCTTATCAAAATCAACAAATGTAAATGTATCTGATAATGCTGATGCAACGCCTTCATAAAATTGTACTTCATGTTGAGCAAATGCTTTCTCTTTTTTATCTTGTATTGTATCAATACCCAATAAACCATTAGAAGATGTATGTTGCAAACGTTTTAATGGTATTAAAACAAAACTACCCGATTGATTTTTATCATCGGGATTAAAAAATTTAATACGTGAATGATTTTTTGTTTGATTTATATATGCCCATTTTCCGCTATCAAGTATTTGAAAACTATGAAAAGAAATAAAAACCAAAAATCATATTAGTTATTTAATTTTAAATTTTAACTTACGATATGCCTTCACCACGTTCTAATGTTTTACCTAATAATAAATCAGTTTGATCATTTGTTGTAGCAACATATCGTATTTGATTTCTATTATTTTCCAATAAAGCAATATAAATACTTAAATGTTTTGATGGTTGGTTACTAAATGTTTCCGAATCTTTTTGTATTATATCCATAACTTCTTTATAAAGATAACCTAATGTTCGAAATGGAATATTACGTATACGTTTTAACCATTGATGACGAGTATGAATACGTGTACGATCGGATGCATTTATCTAACAAAAATCAATATATATATATATATATATATATATGTAAATAAATAAAGATTATTTTAATATAATACTTGTGGTTGTTGATTATCAATATATTTAAGAAGTTCATCGAAGTTTTCACCACCACCCATTGTTTCATTAAGTGTTTGATGAATATTAATAACAAGATCATAAAATTGTGTACTACTTAATTGTTTTTGATCTTGATATGTTTGAAGAACTTTTATTTAAAAAAAAAAACAATAACTATTTTAAATATTCGACAATACAAAAGAAAATTTTTATATGAATAATCAAAATTAAATTTTCATTGAAATAAGACTTAAACTTATAAGATTGAAACAAAAATAATTAGAAGATTAAATTATCTATCAATGAATATTTACATATTATTCATACGAAATAAATCACATTAGAGTATAATATTTTTCTACTGATAGGCGGAAGAAAAACGCAAAAAGTTTATGCTTTAAGTTCTTGAGAGGATCTTAAGAGAAGTGACCAGTGTCCCTGAACTACCACTATATCTTAAGGAGCTAAGTCTCGTTTATCATGTGCACAATGAGACGCATTGTGGAAACTGAGTTGTCACAATCTTGCGCCGATATTCGGAATAACAGCGAAAGTGTGCAAAACCATTAACTAGAATGTTCATCGGCTCGACAGGACTGTATCTTTCATAGTATAGAAAGACAAGTTTTTTTTGCCTTGATTGCACTATGCTTGATTTTTACTTCCAATCGAAAGGTAAGAATATTTAAAAAATCAAACTATTTTTGAAGTTTTTAGAAAATATTATTAATTTTCCTAAATTTAGAATTTAAAAATGATTTTATGACAAAAAAAATCAAACATTTTGTTCAATATAACATAAACCTATTCCTTTGTCTTATTCAAATCTTCATAAACATTTTTATCAATTTACCTTGTTCAATCTGTTCAATGGCTGCTCCATCTTTATACTGTTTAAGAATATTAACCAATGGCTCAAGTTTAATAAGTCCTGTACATGTTGTATTCATTTTTTCAAAGACTAAATCACTTTGAGTACGTTGTTCTGCATCAATAAGACGTTGTTGCATCTATTTACAAATTTTTAAAATTATTTCAAACTATATCGAGCACACTACAAAAATTTTTTTGCTTGCCTCTCATAAAATACATTATTTAAGTGCAAGTATTCTATTATTATGCATAGGATTATGGGGCAAATTTTAACCTTTTTAGTTGTACTTTCTCATGTCTTTCATATTAGTATCACATAGAAATTGTGAAACTAAGTGTTTTTGGTTCCAGTTTCCTTAACTTCTTTCCTAGTGATTTCGGTTATGGCATAGATGGAACCGATCTACGGGTAATAAACGAGATACTGGTGATATGTCAACTCATCATTGAATGCCAGTCTATCGACAATATACCGATCTACAGGTAACAGACCGAGCCTTAAAATGAAATCTCGCTCCACTATGAACTGTTCTGAGTTAAATTGGTAGCTTGTCGCATACTGGTATAATGCTTCATTATTGACAACAATAGTTTCATTGAGAGCATTTTCTAAACTATTTGTTAAACTAATTGTTGTGTGATCAGCAAGATTAAGCCTGATTCCACGTATTGTTTTTTATATGGATACAATCATAGATCAGAAAAGTAGAAAATTTAGACCGGTATCGGACCGGACCGGATCGGCTAGTAACCGATACCAGTTCCATCTATGAGTTATGGTTTCGATAATCAGAAACAAGACTAAAGTTAATCTCGTCTCATACCATTCTCGATATCAGTTTGAACTCTCACTCGAAGGATTTCGCACCATGACTTTATACGACAATATTATTTTTTATATCAATGACGAAATACAGTCTAGAGTCAAACAAGTCTATTTTAACTCAGCTCATATTCTCTATTAGTGGATGAACAATTCAACACTTCGTGGACTCTGCTTCGCATAGAAAGAGTTCGAAATTATATAGATCATAGTGTGATAATAAAATATTTGCATTTAAATTATGATTTTTAGGAGAGTCGAGCGAAAAACCTTCTATAGTAATCCATATACAAAAAAACAACAAATACGTTGATAAATTTACAAGAATCTTTTTTGCATTTTTTTCTTCATTTGTTTCTTTATAATTTGAACGAAAATAATCAATTAATGCTGATATAACCATTTCATTTTTTTTCAAACCACAAAATGATATTAATAAAGCACTAAATTGTATTTTATCGATAAGTTGTTCATCAAATTGTATTGATTTTTCATGATCAATTGTATCAAAATGTTCTAAATTATCTTTTAAAAACAAAACAAAAATAATTAAAGATATTATTTAAAAAAAAGAAATAAAAGAATTATTATTTGCATTTACATATTGGTTTGTGTTCATTTGTAAAACGAAATTCAGCTTCATCTATTCAAATATAAAACATATAAGAATTTCAAAGAAAAATAAAAAAACAAAATAATCTTACAAACTGAAGGATGTTTTAATTCAATATTAAATTTTTTTTGTTCATCATTTGTTTGTTCTTGTCCTTCGTCAATTTTTATATTTTCATCAGCTGAAATTGATGATACAATTTGTTGTTCATTGGTTACTGGTGATCCAGGTGGTTTTTCTTGTTGAACTGTTTCTGATTCTGATGAAGTTTCATTCGATTTCATTTCATTATTTAATATTGTTTGTTTAACAACAGGCCCTAATAAAAAAAAAAAGAATCTTATTAAACCCTTCCCATAGTATAGCAGTTCACTGGCATTCTAATTTATTTCACAAATCAAAAATTTGAAGATCGAGTATTATTGCAATCAACATCATCTTAGACGTTTATGTACAGTTCAGAAACGTAAGAAAATATGTTTCAATTATCTTGAAAGTAGTATTTTAAAAAAATCCCATTACTATCATATAAGAGATATCATATTCATCTCATACTTGAAAACCTTTCGCATAGTTTCAACCGACTATCGTTCATCAGCTTTGTCAAGCGCCTCATTTTTTAGTGTAAGATTTGTTCATATTTTTGTCACCATTTTACATTATTTCATTTCTAGACTCGATGTAACCCGATGAGAGAAAAAATCCGAACAGAATAGTATTAAAGCATACCTATTTTCTATTCGCTAGTTCCTGAACAGCTGTGTGTTATTAATGTTCATGTATACATTTTTCAGCTCACGAAAGAAACTCGTTTGTTCGTTAATAGAAAACATATTGAACAAACGAAATTAGATACATCAAAACAGCGGAAAGCGATGAATTACATTACTGTTTTGCGCAGGTTTAGAATATTTGTTCACGTGAATGTAGGTGTCAGTGTGAATGAAGAGAAGATTCAGGTCAGCACCCACACTCAACATGGAATTGCTGGGTTCGGGTCTACAAAAATGTGAACCCGCAGTGCTGTAAGATTCATCCCTGCGAGCAAGTGTTCGACTCTCATTCTGCACTCGTTCAAATAGGGAAAGTATCTATTACATTTAGAACGTTATAAGCTTGAGACTAGACTTCTATTAAACAAAAAACTAAGACAAATAAATATTTACATTGATTTGGTTGATTAACATATTGTTTATCATTATCATTTAAAGCATTATAAAATGTTTGTAATACTTTCATAACATTTTGTCGAAGAAGATAGTCACTCTAAGAAAAAAAAAAGTTCTTTTTTTTTTTGTTTATTTAATATTCAAATACTTGTTTATCATCTAATTTATTAAAAAGACGTTGTAAGAGAAGATTAAGTTCATGTTCTTGAACAATATTTGAATATGTTTGTGCGTAATGACGATATGTATTTATAATTGAATCAAAATTTTCTAATGATTGATTTTTTAAACTATTAAGAAAATTCTGTCGAAAAAAATAAAATTTAATAAAGTTTCAATTAAAATATAATTACACACACTTCAGTAAATGCACCAAGATGCATTCGATGTGATTGAAATGGAGATATATTTAATTTTAAATCATTTTGTTTTGATATTTCATTGAATTGTTCAATCATATTGTTTATCTAAAGATAATATTCTCTTATAATTATTTATTTTTTTAATAAAATTATATTGAATGTTTATAAGTTATTCTCTGATAATAATTGAAATAATATTTTAGATTTAAAACTCTTTTATATCAATATTCTATTCTATTTCTTATTTTTCTAATATTCAAAATAAATATATAATTACCAATCTAGTTTGAATCCATCCTCTTTCAGGCACATTCCAATCAAAAAAGAATGTTCGAAGTAAATTTTTTCGTCGTTCTTCTTCTTTACTAATAGTATCATATTGTTGACTACGTTCATTTTGTCTTTGTTTAAGTATTGTACGTAACAGTGTTTCTTCTTCACCATAGATTTTTAATACTTGAATTTTTTTTGTATTTAATAATGATTTCATTGAATAATGATATGGTGATAATGATGAATAATGTATATATTTCGGATTATTACGCATTAAAAATGATGCTAAACGATTAATTGGATTAAATGAACGATCTGATGTTGTTGTTTCAATTAAATGACGTTCATCTGCTTCATTAATAACTTTTTCACAAGCTAAAACTACTAATGGAATAAGATTTTCAAGTAAATCATTAAGAACTGTCTGAGATAAATTTAATGTCCACCATTCAGCTGTTAAACTTTCAATAATAGTACTTGAAGCAACTTCTTGAATTATTTTTGATGATGTTTTTTTTCGATCTTGAGAAAGATAATTATCAAGTAGATTATCATCATCATCTATTGATGAACTAAAATTATTAATGAAAAAAGAAAAAAAAAACATAAATTTCTATAAATTAATATCGTTGTTCTTCTAATGTTTAAAATTATGAATTACTTTGATTGATTTATTCAAATAGATCCATTGTATAGGATTTCTATGAGATCGAGTACATGAACTTTTTAGGTATAAGTTATGAAAATTGATAATAATACAATTATAAATAATAGAAAAAATTTATTTTTGATATTCTCAACACTAAATATGTATTTGGTGACATTATGTGTTACAATAATAATTGCTTCTGTTTTATGAGAAGAAATGAATAAATTAACTTAGGATGTAGAAGATCTCGAAAATAAGAAATAGATTTCTACATCGATATAAACACATGAAGTTTGCCAGTTATCGTGTCTTTTTTTTTGTTGGATTAATGTTTCGTTTTTATGTTACATACTGAGTTTGTTGATTATTATTCTGCATTGTTTGTTGTTCACGGTGGGTTCGAGATGATCTATAATAAATAAGAATATTGAAATGATTTAATTAACTTTTGAAGTCATACCCGCCGACAAGCATCTTTAATAATCGTATATAATTTTCTTTTTTTAAATTGTTTTCTTCTTAAATTTTCTACATTTCATCACTAAGCAACTACCTTTAAAATTTGAAATTCTTGATACTAAGGACATCTATCATTTTTATTATTTGTAATAAATAACAAAATTATATTAGAAAATATTCGAAATTTTTGAAATTCTTTATTTATATTGAATAATAAATTGTAAATGATATAAAAATAAAAATCTACAAATCAAAATTGAGATGATTTCCTCTCTTTTTTTTTCTTCTCTTTCTCTAAAGCATTTATACAATGTAAACTAGCTGATTCGATGACGTATCTGACATCAAATGAATAAACATATGAAAGTAGTAAATTTTTTTTTTTTATTCCTTTGGTATGTTTTAATCCTGGTGATTGCATAATCTGTTGTTTTCAATAGAGACTTTTTTTTTCTTGCTTATTCGTTCTGTTGTTTATGCTTAATTGTCTGTTTGAAAAAGTATGAGTGTGGTTTCTGTCTTAGAATAATCATATTGATTTATTTCTCTCTCTCTCTCTCTTTCTCTTTCTCTTTCTCTCTCTCGATCTCTTTCGTGCTTTTCGAAAGACGTGACTTTCTTCTTTTTTTTTTTATTGTATAAGTAAATCGACAATTGATATTATTGACCTTCGTCACATTTATTGTGAGTATTTTATTTTCTTTTTTTGTTAGCTTTACTTAGTAGATATGTCGTTGCAAATTTTTACCTTGGTCAGTCTATGTTATCATCATTTTGCACTTATTTATCTTTTTCTTATTTGTTTTGAATGATGTCAGAACAATAGAATAGAGATAATTTTTGACACAGATATAAATATATTTGTTTTTGAAATTAGGTTTTTTTTCTTATAAAATATTATCAAAGGTATTTTATTAGTTATTCTTGTTTAGTATGGAATAGACAGACAGAGAGAGAGAGAGAGAGAGAAAGAAAAACTGCATTTTTTTCTTTATATGTATGCAAAGATGATAATGGTAGTATGTTTAAGACACTAGCGGTGATAGTTTATATCGATTGAGGGCGTACAAACTGAAGCGAGAGAGAGAGAAGACGATATTTACATTCTTGTCTGTCTATAGTTATAATTTAGACGACGACTAGCAAGAGGAAAAGGAAGTAGAAGAATAAGATACACAACTATACAATGTCGGGCGTCCCAACATCGTATTGGTACATATTCTAGACTTGTTCGCATGTCGATTTCTTCTGTTGACTTTGAGCCACATAGTTTTGCCACCTATTCTTTTCTCATATGAACAAAATGATTGTCTATTGACATTTTCCGTTCTTTCTTTTTCTTCTCTTCGTCATTATTCAGTTTGATAGATATATCTATAGAGAGAGAGAGAGGAAGAGCAAAGAGACGATTTAGATTTACAGTATATATTTTTTTTACTTACAAAAGAAAAAAAAAAGATTTAATGAGCCACCGACAGTATAGAAATGAAATATTTCTTTTTATTTTTCAAGGTGGTTTTTTTGACTTTTGTAATCAACCAATATATTATTAGCATCAAAATCGATCATTATTATGAAAAAAAAACAAAAGAACACAATCACGCATTATTATACGTCAAAATCAAGAACGGATTGTGTTTTTTTGTTATTTTCATAAACAACCTACACCCACTTACTCCATTTCGTTTTTTTTTTGTGCTTTATCTAAATCGCAATGTCATTGTCATCGTACTTATATCGACTTATCTACGCATCATCACACAGCTGTGCATCATTGTTTTATATTGCACTTTTATTCTGTTTTTCTTCTCGAAAGTTGTACATATGTTTGATATATGATATTGTTTAACTCATAAACAAAAACGTAATATCAAACAAAAAAATCAGGTATTTTATTTATATATACTACATTTTTTCGTAAGTTTTTTTTTTCATTTTTTGAGTTACAAAAGAAGTATGAAAAGAACAATTCATAATTTTTTCGTTATTTACGATAATTATCATTTATATATAGTTATTTTATTTGTTGTCCTTGTTGTCAATTACATAATATAGGTCGTTTGATGATAATATTTTTACTTTCGAGAAAAGTATGTTCTTTTATCCTGTTGATAAAAGGGAATATAAAGGACTATTTTTTTTTTTTTGCAATAAACGTTTACAGCTGCGTCAAGAGTTACATTTTACATGTTATTTTCTAATAAAAAAAAGACAACAGCAAATAGAAAATTTTTCATTTTCATCAAAAATACCCAAGAGATTATTTATTAGCAAAAACAGGTATATAATAATAATAAATATTTGCATTGTCATGCAATTTAATAGGAATATAAAGCAAAGAAATTTAGTATTTTTATCTATGATTGTTGGTTTTTATTTTTCTTTTTGTTTTTTTTTGAAGATTAAGAATAGAAAAAAAAGAACAAGACAATAATGCCACGAAAAAATGCCATGCGTGATAATGTATCTGCTGTTCGTTCTCAATTACCCGATTTATCTAATCTTTCACGTGAAAAAATTGAACTTGCATTACTTTATTATGAATTAAATGTAGATGAAACAGTAGAAGCATTTAAACAAAGTAAATTTATTTCTCTTTTTTTGTTTTCAATAGTTATTTTATAATTTTTGTTTTTTCTCAGATGGAGCTATTGAAGCTCTTAGTGGTTGGACTGAAATGAACAATAATCGTGGAAATGTAAAAAGATTCTTTTTATTTAAAAAAAAATAAAATAAAACGAATTTACTTTTAGAATTCTACCAAGCGGACAAATAATAAACCTACTACTAGTCGAAATAACAAAACAACACCATCCAATGGTATTTTACGTCCATCACAACGTGTTTCAAATATATTTCAAACATTTGCTGAAGGTGGCATACCAACAATTACTACGAATGGTATAAGAAAAAAAAAATTAATTTCAATAAAATAAAATTTTCCTTTTTTGTTGTTTTTTTAGGAAATACATCAATATCTAATACAGAAATTTCTTCATCATCATTTGATGAACAACCAAATAATGATCTTCAAACATATCCATCAACTGATATTTCATTTCATCCATGTCTTAGTCAAGGTAAAAACAAAAAAACAATGATTTTTGTTTTTATTTATTTAATTTAAATTTTCTGCTAGATTCAACAACAAATAATTCTGAATCATTAATAAATGGTAGTGAATCAACAGAAAATAATTTTCATGATACATCGAATGTAATAACAACTGATGAAATTGATTTATTAACAAATCATATTGATCAAGATAATCATAATATAAATGAAACAAATGGATATAATGGAAAATCAAAACGTCGACGAAGTATAAAAGATAGTAATGATTCAATATCGTCAATGACATTAAATCATGATCAAACTCAACAATCATTATCTAATGATATTCAACAATCAACGAACAATTCAATCCCAACAACAACAACAACAACAATAAAACCAGTGGCAAAATCCTCTTCTTCTGCAAATATAACAATATTTAGTAATAATAGAAAACGTAAGAAATTATCGTTTGATTAACGAGTGATCGAAAATTAATTTGATAAAATGCTCAGCCTTTTAAAGGAGCCTACAATAAATTTAAAAACATTGAATTAGATTCAAAATTTTTGTAGAACTTCTGATTTAGAAGTTATGAACCGACCTTTTCAGTAATAGTCTCTATTATCGATTTTTTTTGCATAGAATTAAAGGCAAAATTGTTCTCTACAAAATGATATAAGAATCAAGAGTTTTAGCTTAATCATCCAGGGCTAATATATATGGACCTGCGAGTTCAAAGTTTAATCCGAGTCCTGAAGTTTAGCTTTTCTTGGATCTGGCTCCATAAAAATGTAGACTCGCATTTCCCTACTTGCTGGATATCATTTATATAAATACAACTAAAATTATTCCATACAACTGAAGTTTTTGGTTATCAATTAATTTGTTAATTTCTTTTTTTTTATTAACATAATGGTCTTATCAACTAAGTGAAAACTTTTAATTTGTTAAGCATCGAGTGATAGGAAAGTAAACAACAAGAAATAAACTGTACATTGATTTTTTCTGAGAGTAACCAATAAATAGTTAAAACATTGATCCTTCGCTTGATCATGTGCACTAAGGGTGATAGATTTTGGTGGAAAAAAAAACTCTGATATGCATCTGGCTAGGTCCAAATCCATGTTTTTGTGGATTTGTAGCTTCCTAACAACTAAGCTTACATTATGAGTCGGTTTTCCATATAAATCGAGAATTTTGATACAGTATTTCTTACCCGAAATACTCACTGTTAACAAATGATTTGAAGCAAACTAATCATTAACGTGCCATTTTATTAAGAAAGATGTGCTGTATTTGAAATTATTTTCACTTCTACTTTGAGTAAGTTTTGGTGCATCGAAGTTCGTTTAAATTTAATTTATGGACCTCTAAAAGGTTCCGTTTATAACTCTTAAATCAGCAGTTCTAGAAAAATTTTGAACGCATATTCGAAAATAACATAAAAATTCTTATTTTAACTCGATATTTTCAAATTTCTATAGGCTCATTTGAAAGATTTGAAAAAATGATTATACATTTTGTCAAATTACTTGTTCAATCAATCGTTATTAGAATAAGATTTTTATTTGAATTTTTTTTTTATTTTAGTCCTTACAAAATCTACTAAAGATCTTCAACGTCAAACATCAACATTAACTAATGTTGAATTATCATTTGAAAATGAAATAAAATCTTCTATAAAACGTATCGATGATGTATTCAAACAAATTCATGATATAATTAAAGAACGTGAAGTTGAATTATATTTAGAAATTGATAAAGTTAAAGAACAAGGTTTAAATATAATTCGTAATCGACAACAACGTGCTACTGAATTACGTCAACGTATGGATCGTTGTGATCGTCTTGAACCATTAGAAATTGATCATCTTCGAAATGATGTCAAACAATTTGTTACTGATCGTCGTTATGATTTAGGTGAAGAATTAACATCATCACATCGTTTTCAATATGATCAAACAATTATTGATGCATTAAAAAATTTTGGAACAGTTTTAAGAATTGATAGAAAATATGATCGATCACGTACTTTATCAACATCATCATCAGCAGCATTAGTAGAACAAAATAGTACAACAACAGAAGAAATTCTACCAGAAAAATCTATAGGAAATATTCAAACATCTTTCAATAATATTCGAACATCATCATCAACAACATCAAATGAACATAGGTCTTCTAATTATCAACAACAACCATTACCACAGAGAATTCATCAAAAACAAAATTTCAATGGTAACAATACTGTTAATCATTATGAAAATTCTCATGTGCCATCATTAACTAATGGTTTTTATCAATATTATGATGATTCAAATAACTATCAAAGTAAAACAAAAAAAAAAAGCAAAATAATCTTGAAAACTTTTATTAAAAATTTCTTTCTTTTAGATGTAAATTATCGTCGTCGACCACAACAACAAAAATATCCTCAACATTTTAATGAAAATACTCGTCGTTCACGTCCAATACCATCATCTAATAATAATCGTCGTAATGGTTACAATAACAGTGAAACAAAACCTACCCATCGTGATCCTCAATCATCTCAAACAATAGCTCCTCTTATAAGCAATTAAAAAAATAAAATGTATTTTTGTTTTTATCGTATAAATCATTTGTATACTGTTGATCGTTATCCTTCACTTTCTAGTGTGTTTTAAACATGATTTTTTTTTCTCTTCTTACTGACATATTTATTCTTTATATATATATATATATATATGTATACATACAATGATTTTGATTACAATACAAACAAACATAAAAAAATAAGCATATTTATTCTTTTTGTTTTTTTGTTTTTTGTTCTGGTCAAGATTATCTTGTTCTTTTTTTATTTCTGTGCATCTACGTTTCTTTTTCTCTCTTCTTGTTTAACGATTTTTTTTTATTTGCTTCTTTTGGACAAGTGACTATGGTGCTGTTATTGCTTTAATATATATATATATATATATATGAGAAACAACGTTCGTTTTTTTTAAGCTCAATTTCCTTGGAAATTACGTTTGTTTTATTTCTTTGATATTTATTATCTTTCATTCTTTTTTTTTTCATTTTGTTTTCTTAACTGTAACTTAACACGAAGAAAAATGATGAGATGATTTAGTAAAAGGCAAAAAATAAACAAGATATTAACATGAAAAAAATTTATTATTTCTTGATATTGGTTGATTTCGATTTTTTCTTTATTGGTTTTTTGATATTTAATTTTGGTAATGGAGTAATAAATTGACTAAAATATAGAATTGATGTGTGATTTTTTTCAATCGATCGATTTCGATTAACTTACAGATAACTAACAGAACCTTTTTTTGCAATTTTTTTGAGATAATTCCATAAGATAAAATGAAGAGTTTTATCCAAAGTAATACCAGCATCCTGATAGAAAGAAATTTTAATATTTTTTCTAATCTTACAAGGGAAGTCCTCCAGTTATTCAACCGTTTTCGAATCGAGCTTATGCATATTACATAGATCCAAATGAACTATGAATACCCTGAAAAGAGTTCGCATTCTTAGTTTATGGCTATGGAGATACTGGTCTTTTACAATATTTTTTAAATAAATGCTGTGTTCCAGAAAAATTCATTTTTGAATTTTGACTTGAAACTTTGCATAGAGACACGTCATAACGAGAATAATTTATTGTGAAAGTTTCAGATTGAAATTCGAAAATGAGTCTTTTTTTTTGTGTTTCTGAGAAGACCACGATGTTCATTTTAAAAAGTTCTATAAAAGTGCAGTATCTCGGTAGCAATAAGCTAAGTGCACGAACTCTTTTTCAGGATATTTATTATTCATTTGAATCTACATAATGTACATAGTTTCGACTAAAAAGTGATCTATCAATTGGCAAACTTCCTTGGTTAGACGATATTTAAAGCAGATCTATTCATTTTTATTTATTATTTAAATGACATCGTAATTAGCAATAATTATTATTTTTTGTATTATATTTTATAAGAATAAGAAATTTCGTACCAAATGTTGGAAGATAAACTGTCAGTGATATGTTTAATAAGGAAGTTGAATTTAATATATAGATCCTTAATGTTCATTTTTCTCGGAAAAAAAACAAATCTCTTCAATGAAATTCTTTGAGATAAGAGTATAGAGTTGATTTTATTATGGATGAAAAAATGTCTTTAAGATGTTGTTAACACTCTGTGAGATATAAAGAAATTCAAGGTTTTTATTATAGATTTCAATATTCATTTAACAATGATGTTTAAAAAGAGATGATTAGGAACATACGGCGTGTAATACAACGATGAAAGTTACATTTATTATACTTCAAATCAATGTTAATAAATTTATCTTCCTACTAAATTTTGATTTTAGCTTGGATAAATAAAAAAAACAACATAAAAAAAAAAGGAAATATATCACATTGACAGCATGGAATCTCGATCTTTTTGGACGATATACGTATGATATAGAAAGTGATAAAACTCGTCGAGACATGTTTCAAACTTCTTATGAATATAGACAAGCTACTAACGCAATCCTTCCAGGATTAAAATGTGAAACACAATGTAGCTCCTTTTTTTTCAACCACAGGAAAACTGTTTTATTTCAGGACACATTTCGTCATCATACTTTTAATCCTCAAAAAAACACCATAAGGAAGTAGTTCATATTTAATAACGAGACATTATTGATATATAGTCTGTGATCGTATATCAACAGCGTCTATCACAGTTTGTTGAGGGTATACATTTTCACTCATATACTTCAATACTCTTTTTAGATCATGTTTCACAGAGGTATCGCGTTAATATTAGTATTAAAAATAATGCTAATGCACAAGCATTAGCATTAGAGTTCATTAATGCTTAGATATTAGCATTACTTTCAATTCTGATACATCCATTCCAGGTAACTTTTCAAGGACTATCTTGACATGTTCCTGTAACTTTTCAAGGGCTATCTTGACATGTTCCTGTAACTTTCCAAGGGTTGTTTTGACATGCAGTCTGTTGCGTTTCAAGGACTACCTTGACATGTCATCTGTAGCTTCTCGAGGACTATCGTGACACATTACTTGTACCTTTTTAGAGACTCTCTGGACCTCATATTTGTAGCTTTCAAGGACTCTCCAGATGTCCTACTTGTAACTATGTAGAGTCTATCTGAACATTACATCTGTAGGTTTTTAAGATTTCGAAGTGTACAAAATGCAAAAAGTAAGGCAGTTTTCTTTGTTTCTCTGTAGGTAATTAGATAGAGCTCGACGAGCTGAGTGAGAGTGAAATTTTACCAGCAATACGAAGTGTGGGCGTGTGTAAGAGAAGGCCCATAAATACATCCAAACTTCACACCCTATCATTGTTCTTTAATAGAAATGTTCTTTCTCGTCAATTCTAATGATTAGTATAATTTATGCATGACTAAGATTATGCTTAGACATCATTCATGGTATTTGAATACTAATATTATCTCTATATCTAATATTATACTTAATTGAACATTTCTGAAATAAAATATTAAAAAAAAAAATTCGTACTTTAACAGCAGTTGGAAAATCAGTAACATAGATAGAATATGTTAAATGTCCATGTTCTTCTATATCCCATTGTTTTAATGCTTTTGGAAAATCATATCCACCTTCTTTAGCCATACGAGCAAGAATTTTAAATGGATCACGTTGAAACATTGCATGTAATGATTTTGTATCAAGATATCGTAAATCAATATCATCCATAATAGTAAAACCAGATACTTCAAACAAAATTTTCATACAATCAATCAATCTTTTTTTTGTTGCAATCAATTTCTATTACCTGTTGAATGTGATCGTCCTAATTTTCCTCGTATTCCACCATGTATAACTTCAAGTGGTCTTATATATTGATTAATTTGTGTATATAAATCAAGAAAATCATCATTAATAAGAACATTCTTTAAACAAAAAACGAGAAAAAAAAAGAATTGTTTTCATTATTTTTTATTTATATTTGAAAAAAAATTTACTTCAATATTAAGATATTCAACTTGACTTTTAATATGATCAATTGCTTTTAAAAGAACAAGAGAACCAAATGTACCAATATTATTATTACCAAACTGTGATTATATAATAGTTTAATAATATTATATATATGTATGTGAATGAATTGCAATTTTATTATACGGTTATATTCTTATACATAAAAGTTGAATATCTCGGATTCCTCTCAAACAATCTTCACGACTTTTCCACACTAGGTTCTTCTAATAAATCCTTACTAACATACAAAAACAAAAATCAAAATTTGTTCCCTGGTCATTCGAACTACAGAAATTAGAAAAGAAAAATTAGTGTCAATATGTCACCTGAAATTCCAACATATATACTACTTCACAACTGAGATCAAAATATAGATAGTTCTTCAGGTTACGCACCTTGCCTCCTCATCTATACACAGTGCTGTACCTGGTAATGTGTGTACAAAATATGCATAAATTAACGAAGAATCCTCTATGAAAGTCATTTGGTGCTAATAACGTCACATCATGAATATATAGCATAAAACACACTATTAGACTTATGTCGTAAAGATTTATCAAGCTTTGACTTTCAACTATTTATAATCTCAAGTATTTTTAATGCGTTTAGCAAAATTGTTGTATGTGAGAAGTTTTTCGAAATATGAGTGAAAAAAGTTGTGTTCAGACTTGTTTTTAGTGATTCTTATATATCACAGCCATACTTAGAGTGGTGGCAATCGAGAAAATTTATTCTTTTTCTTCTCTCATATAGTACAATCAAACGCATTAATTATCAGCTCGAAATTTTTTTTTCTCAAAATAGTACAATAAAATTTACAATTCATTTGTATATATATATATTCGTACCCAAAGTTTTTTTAATCTACGATTCATTTCAAGTTTTGAAGCAAATATATCTGCTCCATCTTTTTCAATACGATTATTAGACAAATCAAGTTCAATTAAAGTATCATTATTTGATAACATATTCGCAATAAGTATTGCACCTTGATTACCCAATCCATTCATCATTAGATCAAGTCTTTCAAGTGATTGATTATTCTTTTATTGATATTACATGTATGTATTAGACAGAATATACATTTATATATAAATCAAATTCTATTACTTTTAAACTATTACATATAGGACGTATATCATAATCACGAATCATATTCCAGCTTAAATCAAGAATTCTTAATTCAGGTGCATCTTCTAATAGATTAAAAAAAAGTATTTTTTTGACGATTGTTAAGATTTTCATCCTCAAAAAAAAGAAGTTAATTTTCGTCAGAAAAATCGGAATTAAGGTAAGTGCATGGGAAGGTAGTCCAAACTTTGGTCTTTTATAAATGGCATGATTTTTTTATTCAGCATCGTTTTCTTGTCAGAATTTTTGATAATTTCTGTTAGAAAATTCCAGTATCTTTATAGAACACAGAATCCGATAATATTTAGTCTATGACAACTTTTGTTCTACTGATCAAGATCTACCTGCCTTGTAAACTTCAAATTTTTTCTGGAAAGAGGAGGGATAGCTTTAAATAAAATGTTTATTAACTTAATACTAATCCGATATTTTTACATGTTATTGTACCAAGTTGATTTCCATTTAGATATAATTCTTGGAGCATTTCACCACCCTTAAATTATTCAATTAAATATTTCTAAAAATATTTTCTAAATTACTTGAATAATTTTTTTAAGGATTGGTCCATCCGAATCAATAAGTTCACATGCTAATTAAAAAGAGAAAATTAAGATTGATTTTTTTTTTATAAATTTTTTTTTACATGATAAATTTAATTTTTTAATAATTGACATTCTTGTTTCATCATTTATAAATAATAAAGATAAAATTTCAATTCCTTCTGTTTTAATTGGATTTTTTGAAATATCCTTAAAAGAAAAAAAAAGTAATTCTTTTTTAACGAAAAAAACAAAAATAGATTTCTTTTTTTGCTAACAAGTTCTTCAATTTTATAATTATCTTTTAATGTTTCTTGAAGATAAGCACAACCTTGTGCTGTAATATTATTACCATTTAAACGAATACATTTCATTTTTGTATGAATCTATGGTAATACGAGGAAAATGAGAATTAATATTTAAGAAAAAAAAATCTTTATGTACACGTAATGCAAGACAAATAGCTTTTAGATCAAGATCATTTATTGACATTTCAGATAGATCAACTATATTCATATTTAATCCTTCAATAACAGTATTAAATGGATGAATTTGATATTGTTTACATGCTTGAAGATATACTTGAATAGGATCTTGTTTATTAATAAATGTATCTGAGAAAAAAAAAGAAGAATTATCTCATTCATTTTACTTTTTTATAAGTATTCTTTAAATACCTATATCATTTAAATCTGAATCATAATCTGAATCATTAAATTGAATTTCATTAAGAATACATTTATATTTTACATTTTGTTTTTCAAAATTAGGATCAAAATTTATTTTATAGTCTTCATGTGTTAGATCAGATAGAGAATGAGGTCGAAATTTATAATTAAATGTATTCGATAGATTACAACTGAGTAATTGTGTATGAATATCATCATCCGGTAATAAAGCATGAGCTGGAACAGACGTATAAAGAAGAGGATGAACAAGATCATTTGTATATTCTCTATATTATATATATATGCACATTTGATTGAAAATTATGCAAAAATTGAATGTTAATCAACCTGTGTCGTGTTTTATCACGTTCTTTTCGTGCTTTAAGAGCTTGTCGATGTCCTTCATTACATAACATTTTTTTTTCTTAAAAAAATAGAGAAGAGAAAAGAAGCGCAGAAAAAAATTCTTTTTTTTTTGTGTTTCTTAGAAATTTAAATTTAGTGAGAATAAAATGAATCTTTTTTTTTTGATTTTATAAGATTTTTATAAGTTGAAGTTTTTTTTTAAGTTGATTATAATAATTTTACTTGAAAGAAATCAAATCGTCGATGTGTATGACTTCACTTAAAACTACGATTCAAAATTGCTATTCAATATGTTCGTGTTCTATGCTAAATGTGTATGATCACGAGATTTAATTATTATAATTACTATTTATAGTTTTTTCTCCAATCTCGATTATAGTAACCGATGACATTTAAGAAATTGACGTAGACTTTTTTTGTAAGAATGATCATTCTATAAGATTTTTTAATTTATTTCTAGATCGATATAATTCTATAAAATCTACTCGATTTCCAGACATCAAAGCTTGTCGTCAACGATTAATGTCATTCATGATAAAAAAATATCTGTCAATCTAGATCGTGCACGATCATAATCCATTAATCAATTCAACGAACCATTCTTTAGCTATATTATATCGGTATCGTTTTTCATTATTTTGTGAAGCTGCATAAAATATCGCCGTATCAACTGTTATTCTCATCTACTGCATAGTATTCATAGGTCACTTTTATCCGTTTAGTTTTAAATTTCTATCGAATATTTAAATATTATATTTAATTATATATTCACCAAGGATTTATTTTCATTATTCGTCAGTGAAATATGAATATTGAAGTCTATAGCAATAAATTTGTATCCATCTATCAATTCTCTTTTAATATCATAACAGAAACTGTGAGAGACATGTTGAAGTAATTTCTCGATGAATTAGCTAATGTGAACGACATTAATATAGATAATGGGTTTTTTTTTTCTCTAACTTTTTACTATTTTGATTTTGAAGTACATATTAATTACTATAAAAAGCATTCGATTCTTCATATATTATTATAAATAACTTTCTCATAATGTTAATAAGACATTTTGTTTTTGAAAATTCTTCTAGTTTACTTTAATTCTTGTTTGACTGAACATATTCTCTATCCAGATGGCGCCATATTCCAATTGAACTTATTTACAATCCATTGAAATCCATGATTTGCCCTTGACACATTTGCCAATCAATAAGTAGTAAATGTATGTAATGCAATATTCGTTCGTGCTCTCATCATGCAATATAACCGCAGAAAGAACCTGACGACGCATGAAAGCAGCAAAAGAAATGTATAAATGAATGAACGAACGCGACGACGCGACCTCGCAGAAGGTTAATACATGCATCCACATGTATATATAAGCGATACTTTTTCTGTATGCATTGACAGGAAGCGAAGATATTCCGTTCACAATGTTCTGTCCCGACGTCGCGACACTTGATAAATCTTCAAATTCTTTTTATAATTTAATTCAAAAATTCTTTTTTTTTTTGTTTTAGATAATTCTTTTCTTCTCTGTTTTTAATTTCAGCCATGTTACATGATGTGTGCTGTAGTCAAACACCTACTCGTACTCGTAACCCACTTTTTCGACATCGATTACATGTAAGTATGCAGTTAAATAATAATAATCAATTCAATAAGAATCTCGTTTTTTTCTACTCTAGTTTATTTGATTAATTGAACATTTTTTTAAAACTTTTTTTTTTCGAAAGATTAATAAGAGAAGTACTTATTATTTCCTCTTGCAGTGTTTATTTGTGCATGATTTAATTCTTTTTTTTTATTATGTATAATATCATCTTCATTTTTTTATTTTAGAATTCTCCGAGTCCAGCATCAGTTCTATCATTGACACCATCGCCAACAACAGGCATGATTCAATCGGCAGCACCCGGTGAATTTTCCCATCGTTGTGCTACAGTACCATTTGATTCAATCTATAATATAACTGAAGATCTTTGCCGGTAATTAATAAATTTTTCTTTGTTTATAAATAGAATTAATTTTCTTTTTGTTCTAGTGGTCGTTTTTCATCTGTTAAAAAATGTGTAAAAAAAGAAACACCTGATCAAATATTTGCAGCTAAAATAATTAAAAAACGTAATATACAACATGCACTTAATGAATTACGTATATTTCAATTATCACATAAACATTCAAATTTTGTATCACTTCATCAAGTATTTGATTTACCAACCGAAGCAATTTTTATTCTTGAATAGTAAATAAAATAATTTTAAATTATGATTTTCATTTCTTGTTTGTTTTTTTCTTTTGCTATTCTAGTGCAAAACAAGGTGATCTACAATTAGCACTTGAATTAGAAGGTTGTTTAGAAGAAATTCAAGCTATACATGTTACTAAACAAGTTTTAGATGCTGTAGCTTTTCTTCATGATAATAAAATTGTTCATCTTGATATTAAAGTAAATTAAATAAATATGAACAAAAATTATGAATTTAAAATTTTTATTCTTTATTTAGCCTCAAAATATTCTTCTTATGGAAAAATGGCCAAGTACACAAATAAAATTATGTGATTTTGGTCTTTCTCGTGTATTAACTAATCAACGTTTATTAGAAATGTCGGGTACTACAGATTTTCTTGGTAAAAACAAACAAAACACAAAAAAATTTTATTGATTGTTTTTTTCATTTTCTATTTTTGTATCATTTTTAAGCACCTGAGGTTGTCAATTATGAACCATTAACATGTGCTACTGATATGTGGAATATTGGTGTATTAATTTATGTACTTGTAACTGGTCATACACCATTTGGTGGTGCTACAAAATTAGATACACAAAATAATATAACACATTGTATACTTGATTTTCCATCGGATTTATTTGAAAAAATCTCAAAAAAATGTATCGATCTGATTCGAAAATTAATTGTTCGAATACCAAAGTAAATTATAGAAAGGATTGATTTGTTTTTTCTTTTTGTATGTTTAATTATCTTTAGACGTCGAGCAACAGTTCATGAATCTCTTAAACATCCATGGATATGTTTTAATGAAGATACAACATTATCAAATGAACAAATAATTGATTCACTCGATGAAGAAGAAGAAGTTGCAGAAGAAGAAATCGATGAATTAACAAATGAAACTGATGCTCAAAATTTCAATTGAAATAGGCCGTTTTTTTTCTTTTTTCTTCGAGCAATTTCTTTTTCTGACAGTATTGAATGAACCATCTCTTTCTCTTTTTTTTTCTGGTGTGATAAGTTGCAGTGCTATGTGTGTGTGTGTGTGTATTAGGTAAACTAAGATCAAAACTCTGCATTTCTTTTTCTTTTTTTTTGTTTGTTCTTGCTCTTTACGCAATTTTTTTTCGCTGTCTTCGATTGAAAATTCTATCTCAGATATCTTTCTTTTTTTTTTTTTTTTGTAAAAATTTATGACAAACAGGTAAAAACTTAGTAGTTTTTTGTTGCGATCATATTGTACTTTATTCATCTCAGGGATTGTATTGATTTGAGAAATAAGCAGGTACAGGTATTGTTTCTGGTTTTTTTTTGTTCTGTTATTGTTCTTTTCTTTTCTCTTTTTTTTTCTTATTATTATTGTCGTTGACTTTGTCAATACGTCAGTGATCTTTAACACCATAGGTGTCTACATATAAGTTCAGTAACACAAAAGCAAAAAAAAAATGAAAAAGACAAAGTCGATTTTCATTGAATGATATAATGTTTGAACGAAAGAAAAAAACAAAACCAACAAAATTCTTATGTGCAAAAGTACTTAGTGAAAAAATAAATCCATTGGATTTAAAATAAAGTTATCTATATCAAAGTTATTGAATAAAATCCTTTTTCTTATCTCAATAAGATTAACATTAATTCAATAGTATGTTATATATCGATTAAATTAAGAAATGTAAATATTTAGTATTCAATTGACTAATAGCTCTTGAATGATATGCAATAAGAATGTGCAAATCTTCTTCAGCAAATATTGACTTGTACATGCAATCATTGAATTGACATAGATCATGTACATTAGCATGTAAAGATTACATTTATGAGTATCTCTATCAATACAACATTGTCTCTTGTTACATAATGAAAAGTAGAAGATGATCTTTCAATTTTCTTATAATAATATCAATGTTTGTTTTTTTTTTTAGAATAAATTTATAATCATACTATTGAGGCTTATGCTCTTGGGTTTAAAATAATAAAATGGTAATACATAAAATCCTAGATATCATGCGTTTTTGCAAAGTTCTAAACAAATAAATTTGAAAATGGCCATCAAGAGAAAAAATGATCGTAAACAAACAACTAATATTCAATTATCAGATGTCCCAAAAGTCATGGTAACTTAAGAAATGCGTATAACTCTCTTATTAATAAAGTTTTATCTAAGAATATTTTTTTATTTGATAGACAAAATTAGTAAGTTTTTTTTTCATAAAGACAACGTTCATAAACACGGTTCAAACGTACTATCTTTAACTTCAATACAAAAATGTCGATGTTTTCATAATTTCTGAAAAAAACTCACATAAATTTCTATTGTTTTCGATTTTGATTTCTTTCGATATTCGAGTCTTGAAATCATCCAAATCTTGTACTGGCGTTCTGTAGATATTTGTGTTAAAATATCCCTATAGAAAGACGTCCAATGGCATTAAACCTGGTGGTCGAGAAGTCCATGATATTAGTCCACTGCTTTCAATCTACCTATCATTGAAGATTTTGTTTAGCCAGGAATGGAACGCTTGAAAAAAAGATATGGTTGACTCCATCTTTTCAATAAGTGCTATTTATTATCATTGATTCTTTCAAAGAAGCCACTTTTTTATTCGAACTAATCGAAACTAACAAAAATTTGATAAACGTTCACAAATATCCTCACATAAAGCATGTCTATCAACACCATTGAATTTCCTTCTATAGGGATATTTTAACACAAATACCTACAGAACACTAGTACAAGATTTGGATGATTTAAAGACTCGAATATCGAAAGAAATCAAAATAGAAAACAATAGAAATTTATGTGAGTTTTTTTCAGAAATTATGAAAACATCTACATTTTTATATTGAAGTTAAAGATAGTACGTTTGAACCGTGTTTATGAACGTTGTCTTTATGAAAAAAAAACTTACTAATTTTGCCGATCAAATAAAAAAATATTCTTAAATAAAACTTTATTAATAAGAGAGTTATACGCATTTTTTAAGTGATCATGACTTTTGGGACATCTGGTATATACCAATGTAATATATAGTAGTCTGTGTTCTGAACAAATGTCTACTCAAGAAAAATTCTAGTTTCCTAAAATCAAGTTATCTTGGTTAAGTGTTGATTAGTGCTCTACAATGGGGTTGGGTATCCGGCATCTGGAGCATGGGTAAGGGTGTGCAAACTCACTTGGTTGGTTCTGGTTATAGACATGGAAAAAGAATTTATTTTTAATGAAAATTCATCTACAGATGGTGATAAAGTAACTGAATATATATGAAGAGGAAAATGAATTATTACACTGTGTTTCATTCCAGCATCATCAGCAAATGTATACTTAGCAAAATCGATTGGATTTTAGAAGCATATAGACATCAAGTAAATTCTGAATCACTTGATTTTTTTTGTGAAATTTGAAATGATCTCTTTTCTTTTTGTTTCTCTTTATGGAAGAAATTAAATAGTATACGTTTTCATATAAAATAAAATTTTGAAACTATATGTCGGATGTCGAGCACCGGGTATAACTATCCGAGTCCGGTTGCGATAAGTCGTACCCATCTAGGACATTAATATCGAACTGATATGAATCAAAAGTAAATAGCAATAAACATTTTCATCGACAGTTTTACATTAATGAGTTTTATAAAACGCTTAATTTAAAATCTTCATCGTTTCTATTTCATTGAATTAAGGCTCCTTCCTCTGTCAACAATCTGTTATCTCGAAAAATTGAGTTCTTCAAGAGTTATCCCTATATCAAGGATCAAAAAGTAGGTCGTCGTGTGTCACAGATTTCAGGTTGGCATCAAGATGTAGCCAACACTTGTCGTTACAACTTAACAGAGTCCGATATTTTAAATGCTTCTTTGTTAATTTTGCGTGTGAGTTTCTCTCGAAAAGTTCGAAACAATAGGACTATTCCTATGAGAAAAGATCTATTTTTCTCAAAAACTAGGTCAAAAATAAAAATCCACCTCCATTAATTTGTTGAACACAATTGTCTGTTTAATTTCAAACTTTCCAGAGCTTTCTAACATGTAAAATGGCTGAGAAACCTGGGACACACGAACAAAAAAAGCTCGCGGCAAGCAAAGCTTGACTTTGGAAATCCAGATTTTTTTCTTCGCAGAGCGATTAACGACAGATCGCATGGAGGTAGTGCATGAAGCACACTTGCTAGACCGTGCGAGATATGTTCCTCAGGACAGAAGCCTATAGGCAAAGTCATAAGGCTTCAAAAATTAAAATTTAACAAACATTTTCTGCTTGTGAATTTTTTCTGAAAGTCTCTCGAAAATATCGTAAAAACTGAGAATAATAATGATTCCAAAAGTAGAAACTGTGGACTAATTGACCCCGTAGAAAGCTCAAAAATTGAAATTTTTGACAGGAAAGCCTTTAACAGAATCATTTCGTAAATTTTGCTGTTCAAAATGAACTATGTCTAGATGTCGTACATATACAAATCAACCTACTCTGTATTTTTTTAATAGAAACATTTTTTTCACTTGTAGATCTCAAATAAATAAATTTCTTTTTTTTTAATTTTTATAAAGTTTATTAAAAAATTCTCGATTTCTATGATCAATATTAATTATTATGATTCGTAGATAATATTTTCACTTAGAGAGACAGAGACAGATATAGATCGATCGGAATTATATCGATAGTGAAAAAAAAGTTTAACTTTACTTTGAAAAGAAAGAAACAAATATAATTTGTTGACTTTCTCGTGTTTGATCTATATTGACTTTTGTCTATTATTTAGATTTAAATAAATATAAAGTATATAAAAAAAACCTCGTTCGGTCGATAATAAACTAAAGTACAAAACAAAAACAAATGGAACAAGGTGATCAAGCATCGTCTAGTGGTTCATCTAGCAATCTTGATGTTGTATCAATGGTTATTTGGCTATCAACAGGAAATGGAAAATTTTTTGAATTAGTAAGATAAATAATTAATATATATAAAAAAAAAACGTTGATTTCTTTGTTTTTTCACTATATAATTAAGCATGGATCTCGTGATATAATTAAACAAGTATTACCAAAATCATCTGAGACTGCTTTTCGTTGGGGTTATTATAATTCTCCAGCTGATCCTGATCGACAATCATATACACAAGTACTTGAAGCATTTCTTAAAGCTGGTTTTCGTATTGAAGGTTCATCAGGTGCAGGTACACAAGGTCTTCTTCGTACTCAATATATACTTGTTAAACGTAATTCTTCATGAAACAGAACATATCAATCTATTATTCTAACAGAATACATTTTTCTTCTTTTTCTTTTTTTGTCTTCTCAGGAAAACTCTTTCGATTTGTTTGTTCTTTTTATTCATTTAACGATTTCTTTTTCTATATTATTCTAGTCTCGTAGTTTGCTTTTCTTGTTGATGCTGTTTCATGATGGGTATTATTTGCGTGCGTGTGTTTATGCATATGTATTATCATTTATTTGATTTCATAGTGTTATTTCGTAGGATAAGATTGCTGACAGTTTGTGGTTATAAAAGCAAAAAAAGAAAAGAAATATTCCTTGGTTATGGTTTTGTTTTGTTTTCAGATAGAATTAATGTCATCAATAACATTGAATCAACGTTTTGAAGTACTTTCATTAGTTGTTCGAAATGTTCTTACATCAAATTCAAAAAATTTTCAATTACATGGTGATAAACAGTTTATAACACAAATTTTACCAACAGCACCTGAAAGAGCTTTTATAACAAGTGAATGTTATGATTCAAGTTTTGATCTTGGTTCAATAACGTATATTGATATATTACAACGTTTATTAAGATTAGGCTTTCAAATTCAATCATCAGCAAGTGGATCGTATAGTCTACCTAAACCAGAAAAATCAATTATTAAAAGTGAACCGCAATCTATCTCACCACTAGATACATTCGTTCTTCAATATACACTTGTTCGAACGCATATTGTGGGTTAAAATGAAAAAAAAAGAATGATCTTTGCTCAAAACGTATTCAAACTAAACTTTTTTGTTTTGTCTATTTGATAATATTTTCCCTGTTTGTTTTTTTTTTATCTTGTTAATTTTATTTTATTTTTTCGGTTCCTGTGGTACAAACGAAAGAACAATATGTTTCGATTAAAATAAAAAAAAAACAAGAGGCATGATAATCTCTTCGAATATTAGTAGAATATATATTAATTAAAAAAAAAATTCTTAGCTACTAAAACGCTTCAAGCTACATTATTCTTTCATATTCAAAAATTTTTTATTAGAACAAATGCAAAAAGAAAAAATTCTTCTCGTTTATGTACAATTGATTACTTCATTTTATTTTAGATTATATATATTTTAAGACTTATTAGCTAAGAAAATGGTTTCTCGTTATATAAAAAAATTATTATGAAGAACTATGCAAATCATCGACTGGTAAGAATATGTTCTTTTCGTGCGTGTATATATAGTATTATTTAATAGAAATATTTGAAATAGAAAAACCTTGACAGTTTCTACATAAGTCATGATGACGCCCACTTTTTCTCTTTCTATCTTAATTCAAAAGGACAGTGCAAAGCGCACATGCGAAAATCTTGATTATTACAAGAACAGAGAAGTAAGAACAAAAGAATGCCAAGACAGAAAGAAAAAAAAACATTTCGAAAAATTTTTCTCTCGTTTTTTTTTCCATCAACACATTTTATGTCTCACTATTTTATTTCGTTTCAAGGGTGTCGATTGTTTTTTTTAATTTGAAAGAAAGAAAATCGTGAACAGCTCACTTTTTTTTTTCAAATGAAAAGTAATGTAGTTCATTTTAATCTTTACCTTGAAAGAGTTTCTTATGAAGACTTGCAAATCAATACAAAAAAAAACGAAAGTCAATTTGAAATCATAAAATCATATATTTATATTTCTATATGACTTATTTTTATGACGACAATAATCATGATGTAGCGATTCGTATTTTTTTTAGTTACTATTTAATACATCCAATTCAACACAACAATAAAAACATGTAATTTGTTCATTAGATCGAAAAAAAAATGGACCATTTAGAACTTGTTCAAGAAATGGTACTGTTAGAAAAACTAACAGCACAAGAACGATTAAAACATGCTAAACGACGACGACAACAACAACTTGCAAATTGGGCACGACGTGAAGCATCATTGAATAGTAGTACAATAATATCATCAACAATGACAAATGGAGCTCTAACATCAATATCAAATAATAATAATAATAATCATAGAAAATTTAAATCAATTCGATCAAAAGATTTTTTAGTACAATTTCCTGAAAATATCGTTTTATTAGAAGGTAAATGTTTTGTTTTTTCTTTTTCGCTTTCGCTTTCGCTAGGTTAATTGTTAGATAAACAATACATTTAACTAAATAAATATTTAGAAAAAGGAAAGATTTATCAGCTTTTTATTTTACTTTATTTTTCTTTTTCTTAGGTTTAAAAAAAGTAATAGTTTATTTTCATTGTTAAAGCATATCATCGAGTGGTTTTTATCGAATGCACTGAAACTTCTTGTTTTCTTTTTTTCTTTTTGTTTTGATTAAATATAAGTTTTATGTTTTATTCTAGCGACTGCACGTCAAGATTTTGATGAAGTACGTAAGCTTCTTCAATCAGGTAAATATAATCCAAATACAGCTAATGAAGATGGTCTTACACCAATTCATCAATGTTCAATTGATAATAGTGATCAAATTTTACAATTATTAATTGAATATGGTGGTGATGTTAGTGCAAAAGATCGAGATTTATGGACTCCATTACATGCTGCTGGTAAATATAAAGTTTTCTTAATTGAAATTTTCAAAATTTATATTGAATTATAGAATTTCATTACGTATTGAGTTTATATTCGAAGAGGAACTAAATTAGTTTCAAGATCGAAGTAATGTTCGGAGTTTATATAGAGCAAATTTTATAATTATCTGTATAATCAATTTAAAATTAGTTGATTATCAGAATATAACTATTGTCACTTCATAATAAATTTAATAATAGAATAGTTAGCCAAAAACGCTTATCTTCAGAGGCGTAACTCAGTATTGGAGGCAAAGGATGGAGGATGATTGAGTGCCAGAAAAATAGGCATTGCGTGAATAATTGTCACGCTTCTGCTTACCTTTTCACAGTCAAGAATTAAAAACCAGACAGAGAAATTTTGATATTTCCAGTATATTGTTACAATAAGGTTTATAATTATTTTTATTAACCCAGAAAATGTTATTTTCTTTTTATTATCTTCAAGGGCGCCATTAGTCTATTGTATAAACGATAGTTCATGAAATAATATTCAAGCATTAGAGTCTAATCGAGAATTCGTATTAAATATGAACAAGACAAGCTATATAACGAGTGATGCGAAAGTTTCTGAGCAATATATTCCTTCATTTGTCGACCGATTATGGAAGTCGGAATTCTGTTCGTTTTCCGAATATATGGGCTAAATCATTCGTTAGCGAGGAATAATGAGCTCTTTTAGATCTGATTTTTATATGTTAAATGAACATTAAGTTATTCTAGGTACCGTAAAAAATCAGTGCTATACAACTTTGTTCAGAGGAGTTATCGGTAACAAAAAAAACTAACGTTAGCGACGTGACGCAGTACAACTACACAATCAAGAAGGTACTCTTGTAACCAACTGAAACGTTGGAAATCGACTTCAAACATTACATATCATTACTCAGTCTCTAGATGATGATAAGACAAAATTTTTCATTTTTACATTGATTAAGGTTTCTATAAAACCGATTTTTCGGAAGAAATTTTTTGGAGTCCAATCTTGCTGAAAATTTTATCGTAGATGCAGCTTGTGTCCTAGAGCATATCCTGAAGTTTTCAGATTTTTTTCTCATCTGATTAACGAGATATACGCTAGTTACTTTTTAATTAATAACCATGTGAAAGATCAAAAATTTTCATATAAGTCCATGCTAAAAGAATTTATCCAAAAAAATCACTCTTATAGAGAATAAAATTCAAATGAAAGATGTAAATGTTCCGTTTTGCCTGATTTACCTCATATATTGTCTAGGTGTTGATCCAAAAACTTTCATATGATAGTACGCTAAATTGAATACCTTTATGATGAAAATAAAAAACGCTTAAAATTTCTGCTGATTTTTGTAATCAGTCGAAAAATGAATAAATATTTTATCTAGAAACTTTCGTATTTCTAGCTACTTGTGGTCATATACAAATATGTAGAATTCTTATTGAAAATGGTGCTGAATTACTTGCTTTAAATGCTGATGGTAATATGCCCTATGATATATGTGATGATGATCAAACTCTTGATTATATTGAAACTCAAATGGATCGTATTGGTATAACACAAGAAATGATTGATAAAACAAGATCACAAGTTGAAAATCAAATGTTATTTGATTTAAAAATATTAGCTAAAAAACCTGTATCACCAATACGTTCAATAGATGATATTCTATCATATCGCAATGATGAAGGTGCAACACCACTTCATATAGCTAGTGCAAATGGTTATCAAACTGCTGTGGAATATTTACTTCAACAACATGTATCCATTAATCTTCAAGATGCTGATGGTTGGTCACCAATTCATGCTGCAGCATATTGGTGTCAACAGCCTATACTCAGTAAGAAATTTATAAAACAAAACAAACATATATATATATATAGACAGTAGTGGACAAAAGCCTCTTCCCCTATCAGATCTAAGCTATCATAGATATTGAAAGTCTGAAAATTTGTATGCATATAATTCAACAAGAATGTAGATCTGAATCACCACCAGCTTGCTTCGATTGCTTAAACATAATGGGAATTATGACGGATAGGACTTATTTTTCTTTTGAACTTTATACTTCTGAAAAGAAAAAGTTTTATGTGTTACACAGACTCTCATTATTCACGGTAATGTTTCATCGAAGCTCATAAACCATTTTACTATGACTATTCAAGAAGCGAAAAACTCCTTGATGCCATCTGTATACCATAACTTAGTAGAGTGCATGTCCGTAATATGAACGGAGTTTTTGTATACTTATGTTGTTACTGTAATATCTGTGTAAAACAGTGAGCAAATGACATCAAATTTTATAACAAAGTAGATAAATGTCTTATCTACTTATTAGTGGAAGAATTTATTTTTTAAAGTTGACAAATGATCGAGTTATGAACGATAGTTTGAAGTCGACTGATACCATTCTAAATAAATACACTTTCCTCAATAGGAGCGCAAATGCAACAGTTGCCCCTAGTTAGAACGCACTAACAAAAATATAGAGAATAACGTTATTCTATGTATTTTTGGTAGTGCGTTCTAACTAGGGGCAACTTTTGCATTTGCGTTCTTATTGAAGAAAGTGTATTTATTTAGAATGGCATCAGTTGACTTCAAACTATCGTTCAAAACTTGATGATCCATCGAATTTTTTGAAAAATTCTTTCACCAAATAGATAGATAAGACATTTATCTACTTTGTTATAAAATTTGATCCCATTTGCTCACTGTTTCACAAAGATATTATAATCACAATATGACTATACAAAACTCCGTTTTTATTATGGACATGCATTCTAATACTTCAATGAATCACACTCAAACTTTTAGAAAACATTATTGTCTACAAGTCTCAAAAAAGAATCTTCTTCTAAAGAAAAATGGCTTGCTATATAATCATCGTATTCGTATCGAGAGCCAATAAATCATAGGATCTTTTGAGTGATGAGAGATCATATACTGAGCTTCAATTACAAATAAAAATATCAAGAATTAGTCATATATGTGATAATAGGTAACGCAAAAGAAAACAGACGACATTTTCAGATTAACAAGTTTGAGGCGAAAATAGACGCTGTCTATCATAATTATCGTTACATTCCATTTATCTGTGCGACCTCATGTCTCTGACCTTCATTCTTGATGGAATATGTACATACAAATTTCTAGAACTTTATAGAAGCTGAGATCAGCTGGAAAACTTGTGTTCACTATTGTATATAATAAAGTTTTTTTTTTAATTTCTCGTGTTTCTAGCTCAATTAATTGAAGCCGGAGCAGATATCTATGAAAAAATTCCAGATGGTCGTTCAGCTGTTGATCTATGTGATGATCCTGATATACGTACATATATGATCGATTTTCGAGAACAATGTATACGTAATCAAGAAAAAGCGGCAGCAGCGGCCGCTGCTGCTGCAGCTGCTGCACATGCAGCACAATCACAACAAAAAACAAATACAACAAATTTAATAAATACTCGTCTTCAACTTGTTACAAATTCTTTACCACATGGTGTAACACCTCGAACCGGCACATTATATGAATCTCGTTCGAGTATATCATCTCCATATGGTAGTGGTTCATCATTAAATCGAACAAGTTCAATACGTCGTGCATCATTACGTGATCGTGAAAAAGTTAAAAAATTAAATGAAAATTTTCTTGATGTATTACAAGCTAAAGATAAAATACAAGAAGATGTCGATGAAAATACAACAAATCCTACAATAACATCAAAAATAATTAATAAAGATGAATGTTCAAGTAGTACAACAACAACGGATTCAACTGTACGAGAAACAATTACAACAAATTCAATAAAAAAATCAATAAATACATATCCTATTGAATTATCATTACCACCATTAAAAGTTCCACCACCATTACCACCACCTCAAATAACTGCTGATACATTATGTGATGTTAAACGACGACGTGAAGAACGACGTCGTGTTGTTGGTGCTCCATCATCATCAAATATTCTTCCTCCTCCTTCACCTCCAACTATAAAATCATTACCATTACCTACAATTGAAATCAACCATGAAACTAATAATAAAATATCAAATGGTAATCATCTATCAGCAATAAATGATCCAATACAAAATTATTCGGCTAAAAAATATATGGAAATTCATGGTCATATTCCAGATGATGATCGTGAAAAACGAATTTGTTGTACAATTTTGTGATTTAAATATTATCAATGCTTATCCGTCCATAAATAAATAAAAATAACAACAACAACAAAGTCAACTTCCGTTTTAAATAATAAACTAAGCTTATGTTGTTAGTTTCTTTTGAGAAATGAAAAAAAAAACGTAAATCTAAATTTGTTTTGTTTTTTGCAATATTGGTGCTCTCTAAAGACACTTACGTCTTTGTTTTTTTTTCTCTATGATGCGTTTCTGTTTTTTGTTTACTTTTTTTTTTTCTTCTTATATATACATGTATACTGTTTTGTAAGGGTTCTGTCCCGATTATGATGTAAGCTGATATATAAAAAATAATTATTGCAACATTTCGAATAACAAAAAGAAAAAAAAAAAACTTTATTTACAAAAGAAAATGTACTTGTTTCAGTTATTGTAGAGATTTAAAAGTTATTTTGAGTATAATATAGCTTTAAATTCTTCATAAGAAACTTTTCCATCATGATCAAGACAATCAGCTTCGGCAATCATTTCTTTAATATCTTCCTAAAAGAAATTAATTCGAAGAGAAAGCAAAACAAAAAACAACATCTATATAATGATTTCTATTTACTTCTGTTAGATGTTCACCAAGTCTTGAAAGCATATCATAAAGTTCATCCTTATCAATAAAACCATCTCGATTTTTATCGAAAACCTTTATTGAAAGAAAATTTATTTTTCTTTATTTTAATTTAAATTAATTTACTTTAAAAACTTGATATAATTCTGTATCACTTTCACCTGTTGATCGACGGCATCGCATCATAGTTAAAAATTCATCAAAGTCAACACTTCCATTACCTATATGAAATCAATTATATAAAGATTTTATTTCGAACATAATTTACCATCAGTATCAACTTTTGATATCACAGTTGAAATATCTTCTTCACTTGGTGAATAACCAAGTGAATTCATTAATGAACGTATTTCATAATTTGATATATTTCCATCGCCATTTTTGTCCAATAAAGAAAATGATTCTTCGAATACTAAAATAAATTTATAAACTATAGAAATTTTTTAAATAAATTATTAATTAATTCTTTACCAGCAATTTGTTCTTCAGAAAAACCATGTACTTCACCCAATTCTCTTCGACTTTTACCTGTTGTTGTCTAAAGAAATAAATATATCAATTATTTATCTTTTCGAAACATTGTCTTTTTTTTTTATTTGTTATTTAAATTTTGTTTTTTATAAATTTTAAATGAAAACCTACGATAACAACATAAGTTTGTGTTGTCGTAATTGTACGTGTAATCGATGTACAATTATAAGATGTACGTTCGTAACTATGAGTTGACGAAGATCTTATCGGTGTACAATGATTTTCTATTACTGTATTGGGATTATTGGACAAAGATGTTGTAGAAGTTGTTGTCGTATACATATGACTACGTTTAGAAACTCAGAATATAAACGGGGGCGGATGAATAAATCAAGATGGTAATATTGAGATCACGATCTATCATTGACTTGCCAGTACAAAATGTAATATCTCTATTTTTTTGACTCTACTTGTTGTATATCGTAGGAGTACTAATATTTTTCTTCTCTTCTAAACGATTTTGTTACTTGACAAGTATAACTTCAGCTGTAGAGAAAGCTAACACATGATGATCAATGGTCGATTACGAAAGATGCAAAAGAAACTTTCTCCTTTTTTTTCTTCTTGTTCTTCGTTGTACATCAAAATGAAGCCTGTTAATGCACTTAGTTGATATGATGATAAAATAACCCCAAGCAAAAATAACAACAACAGCAACGACAAATCTTTCCTTCGAAGTGCAAATTAGATCTACTTGATAATAAAATCAAATTTTCTTTTCTTGTTTTTTCTTTTTGTATAATACGTAAATATAAATATGAACTTATTCACATGAAATTTTTTTTTTTTATTCAAATATATCTATATTTGAATATAGATTAATACGAATCAATTATGGAATATGGCAATTAGTGAATTAATATAGAAAATTGATTTCTTATTTGCTAATATGCATAGAAGAAAAACGACTAAAGTCAAAGAGGTCATTTTGTACTTGAATGTAAATATATATATATACGTATATATGTGGTCGACAGCAGACCTTCATCAATTCTTATTTGTCATCTTTGTCTTTTATCTCATGTCTGATGTAGTATATAGTCTAATGATTTTGTTTTCGTCATATATATTCATATAATGTGAATCATTGTCTTAAATTATGATTCAAATTCATTATAGCAAACAAAACAAAATATCATCTATGCAAAAAATAATGTAGCCAAAACAAACTTACAATCATCCAATTATTTAAAATTTGTAGATTTGATGATAATTGAAAAGGATCATGAATAGTTGGACGATGTCGTTGATTATCAAGTATGAGCGATTGGGAATGTATAAGTAGTCGCTTTTTCGACATATATGAATTAGATGATGAAGTACGCATTGATGTTATTGTTGTTTTTGATGTTTGTCCATTTTGATGATTATATAGATTAGAACATGACGAAGATGAAGAAGATGATGAACTTAATGTGAATGTTGCTGTACGTGATGTTCTCCTGAGAAGAATTTCTTCATCAATGGCAAGATCTAGTGCTTCCATTGTCGCACATGAGTCATTTGTGAATGTATTGAGTAAGTAAAGATTATTATAATGAGAATTGCTCATTTACAAATTTATCTTGTATGAGAGAAGAGAGAGAGAGAGAAAAAAAAAGTATTAACAATAACGAATGGAATCTAATGTCACCGCTTCATCAACAAAAAAAAAACACGAGAAAACAACATTTATCAAACTATCGACACGCGTCGAATCGTCATCTTTTATTCTTTTTGGATTATATTTATTGTATTACTTGACGTAACGATATCGTACCCAAAAAGGAAAATATTTGTAACAGTTATACAATATAGTAAACGAAGTACAAGAATTATATGAATATTCTGAATGTATAATTTGCTCTTTCTCGAGTATTGACGAAGAAATCAATGTCTAGGAGTACTTCTCATTTTTATTTTCTATTTATATCATCAGTTTCTTCTTAGTTTTCTTACATTTCACCATAAAAAATAATAAACAAATAACAATTAGATAGAAATGAATGAATACTTATTAGAACCACTACCTTTGATCTAAGATATGAATAAATAATGTAAAAAGAAAGAGGAATAGATAAGCTTAAAAAAAGAACAACTCCTATAGAATGAATAATTATTCTCCAATATTATTATAAGGAAGTTTATATAAACAAATGGGATTCATTAAAAGAAAATATAACATAGCATTATTTTGCTTATTATATGTCAATAAATATCAGTTGTTACCTTGATAATATAGAAGCAATATGAGAATATAAATGAATGAAAGGTAATCATCATAGTCATTTATTGAAAGACAATATGAATTTCTTGATCATATATTTATAATGAATACTTACAGGTTTTAATTGTGGTGGCTGCATTTATGTATGTATATTAGTTCAATACTATTTTATAAAATGACGTTATGAATGAAATAAAAAAAAAACGACAAATCAATCAAGCAGAACTAGATAATATCATATATAGAGATGTCATTATTACTATATTTCATAAGCAGCCAACGCCAAATCAGATATGATATGTCCTCTAGATATTAACCATATCTATTCGAGTGACTTTTTTTTGTGTCTATTCAATCAAAAGTTTTCGAAAAAAATTGTATACAATTTCGAATAATATGAATGTATGATAAAACAATCGATGATGATGAGATATTAAGAGTAAAATTTAATAATAAACTTAAAATTATGTTTTCAACTATAATAAACAATAAAACATTTTCCATTGTTTGCTTATACAAAATAATTTTTCATATACAAAAGTTTTTAACATTTATCCATTAGAATTAAAAAATTAATCATCAAGTGCAATTAAAATTCATCGTACGAAAAAAAATGATAAGATACGATTCTCAAATTGCCGAGATAAATGGCAATTATTTTAATGTACTGGCGTAATCAGAAGATCATAAGTGGTAGGACAGTACTCTACAATCTTGAAGGTAATCCCTGCTACAAAATATCAATGGTGATAATTATTATGTTTTTCTTTCTTCTGGTGATACAGCGATGCCCATCCTAGGTTACGCCATTATTTTAATAGGTCTAGTAGTTCAGAAATACAATACATTATGCATCATTACTTATTGACACCAACTATTTCTGTTAAGTACGCATATGGAACCTACACAGGCGTTTAATCTGTATTAATACTACTAACTAGTCTTAGTGAAAAATGGCATCTATACAATGAAGAAGTTTATCTTTAATATAGATTCATTTTAAAAGCTTACCATTCGATGTCTTATAGTAAATGTTTTATTTGTAATTCGAATATTTTGATGAACATAATTTTGTATTCGAAGTTTTGAATTTTTGTTTAACATAGTATTTTTGCATTTTGAAATTTGTTTAACAGAACGATTTACTGATGATGAAAACATCTATAAATATAATAATAAGATTAAAATATTTCTTGATTAAATTTATCATAATTTAATTAGAATCATTGATATATTATATGTACACTTAACAAACATGTGAATTACCATTTGTATTTAACATAAATGATTATTCAAATAGCTAATTTTCCTTGTACAATTCAGATTTAGTGCTTCATAAGACTTGCACTTCGAAAATTAGCTTATAAACTAACTTGTCTATCTTTTGTTTTTCTGCGACATCTTCTATCAATATTTCCCAATAACGGAATTTCCTAATCGTCTATTACTAACCATTCGAGCAAACAAACAAGTTTTTTCATTACTTTCGCTCTTCATTGCAAGAGAAAAGAAAAAAAAAGATAGAGAAAGAATTATTTTTTCCTCATCTAGACATTATTATAAAACAACATTGACTTGTCACAATGACTTTATTATGGTATCTTTGTATATTTTTCATCTATTTTTCTTTTGTTAAACTTAAAATAACAAATATAAATATTACTAATATTATATCAACAAGATCATCAGATAGATTAGAAATTGATAATTCTACAAGAAAATTACCACATGTTACAATATTAGGTGCACTAATAAATAATGAACATATCAAAATACTTCAAAATACTAGTATAGATTCAAATAAAGATTTAAATATTTCATCACAATCATTTATTCTTAATTCAAATCCATTATTAACCATGTTAGATTTATGTGAAATTGGTAATACATCAAATGCAAAAGTAATTATTGCTGGTCATATGATTGACGATAATAATGATGATGATGATTTAACATTAAATGCTATATCATATGTATCAAATTTTTATCATATACCTCTTATAACAATAACATCAAGAGAAAATATTCTTTCCGATAAAGTAAACAACTAATAGAAGAAAATTAATGGGTTGAATAAAAAATTCTTTTGTGTTTATTTAACTTTAGGCATTACATGATTTTATTATACGATTAGCACCACCATATTTATATGAAGCTGATGCTTGGTTTAGTATAATTCAAAAATTAAAATATACAAAAGTTGTATTAATTTATAGTCAAGAAGAAGAAAGTCGAATGGTTGCATCAAGATTTCAAATGCTTACAGATGATTCAGATATTCAAGTAAACTTTGTTGTAATGTTTAATGAGAGAAAATTGTCAACTGATCAATCACTTTCCCAATAAAAACTAATGGATTGTAAGCTATCGACTATGCATCATACTCTGAATAAATCTCCTTAGATCTTTATATGTTGGTTTTCGAGACAAACAAAAAATATTGTCAAAATCGTTCAGATTCTAGAGCAGATGAAGTTTTTCTAAAACTGAATTTTGAATATCATCTTGAAGATTTTCACATTGAAATATTGATATATGTATATCTGTTGTATCAATTAACATCATCGTATTTTCTGCAAACAAAAAATAATTTGAAATAAAGAAAGTTATTAGTTTCTAGATAATTCGATATGCTCTATAATCTAAACAGATTTTTAGAAAAATTTGGAGAAAAGCTTGTTAGTCCGAAACACCTGTCTATGAAGGTCTAAGCGAATTTATTTGAAATCAGCATAGTTGATAGCTTAAAATCTATTAGCTTTCGGTGATAAAGTCATTGATTAGTTGAAAATATTCTCTCATAAAATATGTTTATTGTAAAATTTTTTCTCATTAGCAATGAATAATAAAAGAATTGATCATATTAGTATAATGTCAAACATCTAATGAACATTGATAGAATGAGTTTGACATAAAGATGAAAATATGCAAATTGCATTGGATGTTTTTTGAATGTCTTGTCATTTGTGTCGGAAGAAAGTCAAGAGATAATTTCATAAAAACTAGTAATTTCATTTTAAGTCAAACAGGCCTAGCTCGAGGCAGTCAACATTGAGGAATCATCGTAAGCTTTTGGGAGTTTAAAGAGTTCTTTTTAAGAGAACGTACGAAAAATTTTTCATGGTCAAATTTGAACATAAGATACTTTAAAGTAGTCGAAGTTACTGTATATAATTTTTTTTCTTTTGGCGGAATAATCATAAAATTTCCTTTTCAATATATAAATCTAGAGGCGTAACTCAGTACTAGAGGCAGGGAGATAGAGCAGTTCAGTGCCGGAAAAAAGGGTACTATATGGATGTTTTGGAAAGTGGGGGGAGGCCTTACGTTCCTTTAAAAATTTTTTATATCTAATAGATTGAACGAATAGAAGAATATACTTTAAATACAAATTTTACATCATTAATATTAAATTTAACAACTGAAGATCGTTTATTAGCACGTGTTTTTATTATTCATACAAGGCAAATAATTTTAATTTCATTTTAATAACAAAAAAAAAACAATTGATTATTATTTATAGATATAAAGATATCGATGAATTATTATTAGCTATTGTACGATTACAAAAATTGGAAAATTTTGTTTGGATTATAAATGAACGTGCATTAAAATCAAATAATTCAGCTTTTTTTGATGGTTAAATTAATTTAATTGAAAGTTTTTCGTTCTTATTGCATTTCTTTTTTTTTTGTTCAGGTCTTCTTGCTGTTAAATTAAATGATTCATTTAATGAAGAAAATCTTCTTATTGATGCGACTCAACTTATTAGAAATACATTTATTAAATTTCTTAATTATACACCTTTATTTTGGTCAGAAAATATGTCCGTTATCGATTGTTTATCAACAGAACCTTGGATATATGGAAAAGATGTTTATAAGTATGGATAATTTCTTTTTTTTTTTGTTCGTATATATGTAAAATAAATTTTTTGCTTTCTTTTTCCAGAACATTAGTTAATACAAGTGTTAAACATGGTAAAACAGGTAATATTGAATTTAATGAAGAAGGTGACCGTATTGAATCATTATATAATATAATTAATATTCAATTTGGACAACAGAAAATTGTTGGCTTTTATCGTTCGAATACAGTGAGTTTCGAATATGATTTATTGATAAGAATGTTTAAAGTGTCTTTAAAAAAATGCCTTGAAAAGATTATGTTAGAAAATGATAATGCTAAATTTTAATCCATAGAACTCCTGAGGAAAATTTTGAGTTTCAATGCTTATCTTTTATTAAAATACTCAAGCAAGAGAATATATCCAAACATTC